AATATATATATATAGATAGATAGATATCTTAGTTAGTTTTTGGCCGGCGCAGGTTTGTAGCATTTTGCGTACTCAAACAACAAACTTGGTAGGTTGATTATATGGCTGGCTATAACTTCAAATATACGATTACAGTTTATACAGTTTTTTTGAGAGATACATGTTATGTTGATTATATATTTCGATCTATATATAGAGAGAGAAGATTAAATGGTTCATCAATTCTAAATATATTTCTAGCTAATTTAGTTACTTTACGTTACGTTACGTTACGTTAGACTTTAATGCGTTACGTAGAAAATAAAGAGAAACGTTTTAATGAGCTCCTTAATGTCAGCTATCAATAATGTTTCTATAACTATATATATAGTAATTATATATATTCGATTATAGAGTTTTATTTCTTGATTTGTTTACAAGTTTACATATTTACTGATTTCTTCATTTCTATCTAATCAATTTGTAATATGTATCTAAAATACTTTTAATGATTGTCGCTATACAAATCGAAGAGCTATATGGGTTTATAGTTTTTTTCTGATTAGGAATTCTCTATACTGGACCACGTCAGGTTTAATACTTTATTATCGAGTTGTAGTTAACTACTTAAATCAAAAATATTAAATAAAATACTAAATATAACTAGAATGTACTTTAAATATCTCTAAGTTTCTTAGCTAAATATACGAAGATAACTGTTCGGGAAAGATGATCTCTGTTCAACCATGAAAATAGTTTTTCCGATCCTCATACAAGTTCATGGACATAAGAACTTGATCCTTAGCTAAATTATACTCATATTATTATTCTCCTGAACAGTTTTCTTACAGTTCTTATATCATATAAAATTATATTAATATATATATTCGAATGACCAATTAACTAAATGAAAGGTATATAAAGTATGAATATACATATGTTCTAGGAGAACATCTGATACTATATATCATATAGTCTAGCAGAAATAAGAGCATATGCACGTGTATATCATTTCGTAAATATATAGATGAGTGATATGGTTTATGATATGGCGGAGGTACTTCAAACTCGGAACAGTTCAGAGCTCTTTCATAATTCTTTGTATTTCTCTAATCTGCTAGACTATATCAACTGCGGCAAGCCGAAGTTAATTCAATTACTACCTGCTGCTATGATAATACCTTTTATGAGCTAGCTCTTTATACATGATAGCTAGACGATATATGTGCTACTTCTTATAGAGTTCTAAAACTAATTCGTATACCTGGCGAATATTGGAAATGTGGAAATCAACTGTGGAAAATCAAGAATCGCTTTTAATGCAATTAATTAACCAACAAATCCGCTAAATGTTTTTTTCTCTCGATTATAATTTTTAATTGTTGAAATAAATACGTATTTCTATTTCTGCTAAAGGAGGATTAAAAACGCGAATTAAAACAATTATTATAATAAATACCAAAGAGAGGGAGGGCGAGAGGCGAAAGGGGTACAAACAAATAAATTAATGAATGCATTTGCCTTCAATTAATATGTAATGTACACTAAAATTGAAAGGCATTTTCAATGCATATTTAATATTTGGCATTTTGGCAGCTAAACTCGCTGAACGCTGATGAGAAAATATATATTTTAGCTACGATTATATTTCATGATAATAAATGCAAATAATTTCTTGTGTAGTCTCTGCCGTAGTTAGATAAATGGCCGAATTTTCAATTATGAATGTTAATAAAAACATGTTTAAGCTACGCTAAATATGATTTATATATGGATTACTAAATTGGATTTTAAATATGTATTACTAGAATAATATTTGTGTTTGGATGTGGGAATCAAGTATATTGGGGGAATATATAGTACGATATACAAGTATGTTTTAATATAGAAATATATAGTTTAACAACACTACAAACTAGGGTTTCGGCTAAGGTTTTGGAGGGGGTTTTAGGTGGGGGCTCAGATTGTGTTGAAACTAAAAACTTAAATCATAATAAGCTAAATTGAGATTCAACAGCAACAACAACCGAAATTGCTGGCAATTTATTTAGCCCACGCAAATGCTGCGTGGGAGTCGCACAAAAAGTTGCGACCGACTTTGTGGCTGAACTGAAATTGCAAATGCGAAACGAAATGAAATAAAAAGGGATACGAGAAAGGAGAACACAGAGAGAGACAGAGAAAGAGAGAGAGCACCCCGAAATGAATTTTGCAGCTCTGATGAAATACCTCAGTTGACCTTTAAGGGCTGTGCGTGGGTTTCCTTGAAATGCAATGCAAATTCCGGGTGGGGCGGGCAAGGAAACTTTAAAATCAAATTTAAAGTCGAATCTCATTTGGCATTTCACATATTCTGATGCAAATGGGAGCCCCTAAGCTCCAACTGCAGATTAAAGAGGAAATGGTACTTTAAAAGTATTCCAATTGAAATATAAAGTAGAGCTGCATAAGCAGCTAAGGAAAGCTGCTTTGCTTCGTTACTTAAAAAGTAATATACAACGATAATCAAAAATAATAATAATAATACCGTACACTTATAAAATAAAATATAAAATTATACTTAAAAACAAAAGCTATTTGAGGCAGCTGTGTAAACGAATTGTAATGTTGGGAGGTAACGTTGGGCACTTGTCAAATGTGGATTTCAGTACAAGGTTAGACACGGATTACGGATTAAGGGGGGTTTCGGTGTGGGCTGGGTCGGGGTACAGGAGGATAGTTTGCGGTGTGAGGGGTGAGTATTACTTGCATGCAAACAAACGTACAATGGCCGGCCTATGAAGCACCCAGATACCCACTTTGGCCATCTGAGCTTGCACGCCCTTCGCCTGCAGTCCCTTGACGGCCCCCTCAGCGTAGGCCGGCTGCTCGAAGTCGACGAAGCCGTAACCTGTAAGAAACATATTTTGTTTTTGTTTTGTTTTCGTTTTTCGTTGTTGTTATTTTTTTGCGTTTTGTGTATTTTGTTTTACAGGGGGCGGAGGTGGAATTTTTTTAATTGCATGTTGAAAGACATATATATAAATATATATATAATTTGTATAAGTAGAATAAGAGTATTTAAATTGCGTTTTATTTATTTTTTTTATTATTATTTTTAATTTTAAAGTTCACACAGTTTTAAAAAAGATGAAAAGGAACAAAATTGGATTCAAGATTTAATTATTTCCGCACGTGCAAAATAAGTTTCAAAGTGATGAAAAACAAACAAAACAAAAACAAAATATATCATTTGAAAAAATGAGAGGGAGAGAGAGAAAGAGAAAGAAAAAAAAAGAAAGTGAGAATGGTAAAAATAAATTAATAATTTCTCATATTTTAGCTGTAACATATAAAGAGAGCAACAAACGGCAATTGTTAAACAAATAATTAAAGAAAAATATATATATAAATTCCCAACAGAAGATTTCAACTACAGTCGTATTGCTTATTATTAATATTACAATTGCAGATATTAAGGATAATCGTTGGAACGTCAATTTGCAATGATTATTGTATAATCATATATGGTAAATTTTATATACATATATACAGGTATTGATTTATATCTGTATATATGTATATCAAATAAATMAAGTTACTGAGTAATGTAAGCCTTTCATATACACACACACACGCACATAATTATTTGTACAGCTCGTTGCTTGCTGGCAAACGTTATATATATATTTATAGGAGCGGATATTATCAATATATAAATATCATTAGCATTAGTAATATAGAGTATATATATATATAGAGGGCATATCGGGGAGGCTTAGTAGGGGTGCAGTAGTAGATAGGTGAATGCATGAATGATTCGATTGCAAAACGAGATATATACGAAATTATAAAATCATAATTTCACTTAATCAAATGAAAGCCGAAGAAGAGAAAAATCGACAATTTTATCTGCCAATTGATTAATTTTTAGTTGAATAATAAATACATCAAAATACCAGACACAATTAATGAGAACGAGCAAAAACATGTAAAGGAAAAACTATATACGTAAGTTGAAGTAAAAAAAAAAAAAAAAAACAAACACAAACAGTACCAAATATTAAATATGCCTAGTACTCAAAGGAATTGAGAGAGTGAGTGATAGAGAAAGAACAAAAGTTCTCCTTTAAGAAAAAAGATAGATATATCTAGATCTAGTATTTGTTTGTTAACCTTTTGACCTTTTGAGTACTGCGCATATTTATAAACTAATACAAAATACGAACAAAGAGAAAAGAGAAAAGAAAATCCTTGAAAGAAATCATCGATTATTATTTTGTATACTTTCTTTTTCTCTTTTTTTTTTTTATTACATAACACATACTAATAATACATATACAAAAAACACACATAAATAAAATAATGATGAGAATGGTGAAGAAAAAAATACCTTTACATTTGTTTGTTGTTTTATCTAAAATAGCCTTGGTTGATATTATTGTTCCGTATCTGTAAGGGAGAGAAAAAAGAGGGGAAACGGGCGGACCCGGTGAATTAGTCAACGAAATGGACATATGTATATACGCTATAAATATGTAAAGTAGACGTACAACTAATTACAAGACTCTTGCATGTCACGAACTTCTCTCACTCTCACTCTCACTTTCACTCCTTCTCTCTCTCGCTCACTCTCGCTTTCTAAGTTTGACTCATAATATAGTCGACTATATTTAATGTCTGTTTGATTGTCATAAGCTGTGCGTGGTGGCTTGACTGGCTTGACTTTTTCTATTATTTCCTTTCTGCTTCATTGTTGATTTTAACTAAACGACACGCTTCTCTCTGTGCTGGCCCAAAAGGATACCAGCCGAGCACTATAAGGCAATTAAATAGTCATTAAAATGCAATATTAATATCGCGCGCTGAAAAGTAGGCAACGAATTATATTTCGTTGGAAATTGCTCATTTGAGCTTGGACCAGCGGCAAATTAAATCGATATCAGCATAGTTACAGACATCGATAATACAAACACACTCGCATAGTGCTATATGAATAAATGCTGTTATGCACACACACACACACACATATATTTATATATAGTATATATGTATGTAGTTATAATAACATTAAAGCTGCCCAAGCAAATAAGCCGCTTATTTTGATTGCCTCGCAGTCAAGCAGCTGCAAACAGAGTGAAAAAAATAATAGAATAGAATAAAGGGTGGGCTTAGGCCCACCAACAACCGTCCAGCCAGGCTACGCTATAAAAAAAGAGCCAAATTCACCTTCAATTTAATAAGTTGACTTGTAATTATTAGCCCCTCTCTAGCTAAGGCGCAACTCGTGTAAGCCCCCTTCTTGACTCGCTGCCTTGGTTATTCTCTCTTCCTCTCTTCCTCTTCTTCTACATTCTGTAAGCTTGTTTGATATTTTTATTTTCATTAATTTTTATGTGCGTGGCCTTTAATAGTTTCATAAGTATAAATATATACTATTTTTTTTTTTCGTTATTTTGTTGTTGGTCCACATAGAGTGAGCCACATTGCGTATGCGTTATGTATACAACATACCACATCATAATCATTTGCAAGTGGTTCTAGTGGAAGTTCTGCTATTTGTTTTTATATTCGTGATGAAGCGTGTGCTCTAATTAGTGGATTTTTGTTTAGTTTTGCTAAAACTCGTTTCCTGCGGTCTGGGGGGCAGACGGCCAGTCCGACCAAAGCGCGGGGGCTGAGGCATAAAATATAGGCATACAATATATATATATATATAATTTTTGGGGGTTGCTTGCCCTCTGACTGGATAGTGAGGGGTCTATTGAATTGGATATATGTGTGCATGTGTGTGTGGCCTTTGTAGAAACTCAGCGAAGCGGAATGAGCTGAGGCTAAGCTGCTCATTAGCAGCTGGAATGAGGCATGAATTGAGCTTAAGCTTTCGGCCATGTCCGCAACACAATTCTCTCTCCAGCCAGGGGTTACTGGGCCAGGCATAGTTTCAATAGAATCGATACGACTACAGTTTAGCTTGAATTATCTATATTTCATGTATGCGACGCTTGCTTTGATTTACGCCTAACAAGCGAGGCGGAGCTGGTTTCAATAAAAATAATTATATCTCTTCGAGCTACTCGTTTGGAAATGCGTTCAATTTACAGGACATAAATATAACATTTATTATGATTCACACCGAACAGTTGGCGGGAACAGGCAGCCAAGACATCTGACTTGGCTAGATGTTAACTCATATGCTGTATTTATTTAATTTAAATTTCATGTGGAATTTTTCTGTTTCTATTGAGACTTTAGCTATATCTACGTTTTTTCCTTTGGCTTCTTTCTTACATATTAAATTATGTATAGCTTATATATTATTTGGCATAATTGATACTCACTGTGCACACATGTTGATCAGATCCTTATCGGTTGTGCCCTGCTGCAGTCCGCGTATGTAGAGGTTTGTCTTTGACAACTGCTCGCCGCCCTGTTGATTTTGATTCTGTGCCGTGCCGTTGGGACCCATTGTGGTGTTTGTGTTTGTCGTGTTGCTCAGACTGGTGCTCAGTGTGCCGCTCTGGGAGCCCGTGTTCGATGAGCTGCTCGAGTTCGTGTTGCTCGGTGAGGCTGCAGTTGGCACACGCTGGCCGTACTGAAGAGTCAAGAAAGAGAACGCACAAAAGAGAGAGAATGAGTTAAGTATAAAGCATGTGGATTTAGAGTGTGCATTATTATAGTTAGATTGACAACAAGCTGTCCACAAAATATGCACACGCAGAAATATGCAATGCGTCCCAGTCCTGCCTTGCATCCCGTTCCCGATAATATTAAGCGATATTTCCAATGTCTGTTCACGACTTTGTCTGTCTGTTATTATGTGTGTGTGTGTGTATCATATTTTTATTGAAATTCCAGTCAGCCATACGAAGTTATTGAATGGCTCAGCTTGAGTCACTGCTATACAAACACACACATACTCACACACTCATACATACACATACAATGCAGAGCACAAGCATGCATATTTAGGTGCAGTTGAGGTACAGTTGGCAAAGGATACATAGAAAGGCATGTGGACCAAGCCGTGATGATGGCGTTTTTCACTTAAAATGCCACAAAACAGTACAAGTGCATATGTGCATGTGCATTGGCATGTGTGCACGTGTGCATGTTTACATGTGTGTGTGTGCTCATACAGCGCTGCAGGATATTTGGCAGCATTGCACGCCAGGCGTTGAAAATCTATAAAATTTGTATGTAACACACAAAAGCGCACACGAACTGCTCCACAGCTCCACAGCTCTGCAGCTCCACTTGATTCACTTTTATTCCGTGCGCCTTCTTCTTCTCGTTTTTATTATTTTTGGAAATTTGCCAGAAATAAAAATGCAGCGTATATCCACTTTTTTTTTCTCGTCAGCATCAAATGCAAAGTTTTCTTTTTCATAACTAAATATCAGCTCGAGTTCAGTTGCAAGCGAATCGCGCAAGAAAGAGAGAAACAATAATTTAATTGTGAAAGCATATCATATGTCAATGTCTAGTGTCATGTTAGTTGCCACATTTTGTGGCATACGATTGGATAGCCGATGTTGCAGCTGCAACCGCAGCGATAAGCGAAACAATTAAATACCACAAGAGCAACAACAACAACAACAGCAAAATATTAAAATTAAAAGTATACAGGAAAATCACAGTTTGATATTTTAATATTAATAAAAATCAACCACAAAATGAAAACACGACTCAACTAAATTAAAATTAATTAAATTCATTTTATGGCTTATTTTTATATCAATTTCACTGTTGATGTTTTATGTGGCAAAGCATTTGGAGTTCCCAACCATTTCCAATTGGGGGCGTGACGTGTTAACGCCCATTATATACAGAGAAATTAAGTCTAAAAAACATGCAAGACTGGAAGATACTCTAGGGAGTGACTGAGACGGAATGAGGGGGACTGACAGAGAGATATAAAGAAAGGGAGTGAGAGAGATATATACTGAGATAGAAAATGAGAGAGAGAGAGAGAGAGAGAAAGAAGACAGAATTAGAGAAAGACGAGAAAGAAGGAATTAGAGAAAGAAGAACATACTTAGAAAGAGAGATGGATATTTATATATATATATATAGAGAGAGAGAGGGAGAGATAAAGATATAGAAAGAGAAAGACAAAGACGGAAGAAGACAGAAAGAAGGGAAGATTTTCAGAAGTTTCCTTTTTTATATATGTACATAGAGAGATCTCTGTAATCAACTGAAACAAAGAGCATGTATGACTAAATATAGCCATAAAAATTGGAATATGCCTAAATATACAACAGACATGTAGAGGGAAAGGGTGACAGCATCACAGAAAGAGTTTTCAGCATATCATAATGATATAAATAATATGTAAGCGCCACTTAAATTCATGAAAATTGCATAGAACGACCTTTCAGTCATCGCTTACATATATTTAAATAAAATGAACTGTCTATTTGTCTGTTTGTCTACCTCGACTTGCTTAGCTTTTGAAGCATGTGTGAGAATTTGATTGACAATTGRCAATGTTCTTGTTGTTGTTGTCGTTGTTGCCACTGCTGATGGTGCGTGATTTGGTTTGCTGTGCTTCAAGTGCTCAACTGGCATTTGAAGTGTGATGCAGACAGGGGCGGCAAGCAGCTCAAATTTGCTTTATCAGCAGGCGAAATACCAAAAGGGCAGAAGTGTGGCAGGGAGGGGGAGAGGGAGCAGCAGCAGGGGAAGGGGGCAGCAGCAGCAACAGAATTGTACTTGCTAAGAAGGCAACTCTGCAGCAAGCTGTCGCCTACACGCTTTATATATAATATCCTCTTCCGTTTATTTGCTTTTGCCTCTTCTCCTTCTCTTTTTTTTCTGAGAATTTCTCTTAGTGTGTGTGTTGAGAAGCATTGAAGCGCGAATGTAACAAAACAAATATTGCGAATGCTGATAAAATATTTGATACAAGTGGAAAGGGACACGGAGCAGCATATGAAAAGATGCAAAGAACTGAGATGAGACGAGACCAGACGAGACGAGACGAGGCGGGACGAGATGAGATGAGAGTGAGTTCAAGTGCGAGTTCATTTCTTTTGCACAGCTTTTGTTATCTTTTCTGCCAGCACAAGTACTTACAGACGCACACTTACGCTATATATGTGTGCGTAAGCATAACTACTTCTCACACTCTCGCTTTGTCTCTCTCTCACACTCACTCTCTGTCTTTCTCTATGTAGATACAATAATTTTGGACCCTTGTCGCTTGTCTTGTGTCTCGCTTTCTTGTAATTAAATAATAAATTCTGCTGAAAATTTGTTGTATACTGTCTCAAGTCTGATGACTATTTGCATGTGTGTACGACTCTGACTCTCTCTCGCTCTCTCTCTCTCTATCTCATTCTTTTTCTCTCTGTATGTGTGTGTAATGTGCTCATACGCCCCGTATGCCAATGAACTTCTTTTGTATTTGTTGCTGTCTGATAATGAAATTATATCGTTCGCATAATTTAATGCGCACAGCAACAAGAGCAAAAGGCATAAAATAAACATACAAACAAACAAACACACACACACACGCACATACGCATACTCTATGCCTTATATGTATTTCTGTATGTCTATGTATGCGTGTCACTCCCAAAATGGGTGAGCGTCGAGCTGGCTGCCGTTTTATTAAAAAAGAAAAAAAAGAAATAAAAATAAAAAATTAAGTTTCTTTTCTTTTTTTGTTTTTTTGCAATATTGCGTCATTTGCAAAATATTTCGAGGCACAGCAGCGAAGACAACAAAACCAAAAACAATAACAATAGCAGTAGCAATAACAACAATAACAACAACAATTACTACTCTCTCTATTTTTTTTGGCAGTCGCTTTGTTAAATTTATCTTTGGCATTAGGAAATATATATATATATGTATATATGTCTTATTCTCTACCTTCTCTTCCGCTGGCGAACACGTGTGCAGACTTTTAGTTAATTTTGTGTTTCCCTCACTTTATTACACTCTTCCTCTTACTCATTGCTGCTTTGGGCTCATGTTTAAGTGCATAGTTGTAGTAATTTATATTGTTATTTATGTGCATTGTTGTTTTTGCTCATAGTTTTAGTTAACATTAACCTTTTGCCATTATTTATGTGACTTTCATTTGTTTAGTCAGCTATATTGCGCAAACATTATACGACAGAGTGAAAGAGAAAGAGACGGGTGCAGCGACAGTGCGAGTGAGTGAAGGAAACAAAAGACAATCGCAGCAATAATGATAAAAATACAATTTAATGGCATAAGCTAAACATTTTGATTGCCTCCATCCATAGAGAGACACACACACACACATAACAATGTTAATAATCACGTTGATAATGACGATAATGATAATGCTGATGATATAGCAAACGGATGCCAATCACGCAACTGCAAACAGTCCAGAGACTCTCGACTGTAATAAAGGTAAAGGCAGTTAAACGAACATGTTTAACGAGTCACACATATGTGTGTACGTGTACGTGTGTATGTGGGTTACAAAGAGTTAGGAGGTGCCTGCATATTAACCTCATAGATGAGTAAACTATTCGAAAAGTAGGTTAAGATATACGTAGTCAGCTTTACTTCAGCAAGCAAAGAATGCAAAAAGCAATAAGCTGGTAGCCCTAATAAGCTATGTTTAGGATGACCAAACTCTAGTAAATCCATTGTTCATAAAAGCATTTAAGAGAAGACTTTGCAAATGCTTTAATATGTATTCACATTTCAGTGTGTTCATACGCCACATAAAGCTGTTTGAGGTTTACCAACACTAATTTCTTTCAATTTCTCCCTTTTCACTTATTGCTCACACTTAATTCATAAGCTAAGCCTTATTTATTGCCACCCCGTCCCTCACTTAAAGCAATACATAAAGCATTCACGCCAAGTCATATACAACTGCCTTTCCATTAAGATCGAGTGATTCTCTCTGCACCTCTGCTCTCTTCAGCAACTAGCAGAGTTGGTTTTAAAAACGGACACGGTCTCCAGTCGAGTCGAGTCAGTCACGTGCCAAAAGCGCCTCAAGACTGCGAGACCCAAAACAAAACCAGACCAAATACAAATGGACTCGTTTTTGATTTATGATGTCGCCGACATGAGCGCCATATAATTCATTTAAGCAGCGTCCGTTCTCTGAAGAAACTCTCTATCTGCTCACTCTCTCCCTCTCTCGCCGTTTCGCTCGTTTTATGTATGCATCTCTATCTGTCTGTCTCTACTAATAAATCAAAGGCACAGTCGCATTGCACTTGTGCCAAAAACTTAAACATAAATCCACTCAATCACGATGGGCGACAGTTATTATTTGTCCCAATGTCAACCCGTTGCTGGATTGAGATATAACTATATATATATATAAGGCTGAGCAAATCTCTTGCTGACTCCCAAAGTCATCAAATCAAGCAGCAGTCAGCTTATTCCGGCACGCTTTGCCTTTCCCACTGATTGCGATTCCAGGGGTTGAGTTATGAAGGATGGAGGAAGGCGGGTGGATGGCTGGAGAAGGAGAGTTTGCTGCTGCTGCTGCTGTTGCTGTGTGTGCATAAAAAATGCCGCTCACGTGACTTCTATAAATTAAATGCGTATATGAAGGGTAGAGAAACTGGTATCTGATAGATGGGC